CTGAAGCCATGATGTCAGTCGTTTTCCATGAGATGCAATTTAAATCCTTTCCTTAGAGGCCCAGTTGTACAAATGAGTTCTGAAAGGGTCGGAGCTAGTGAGCCACCTGGAGAAGATGCTCGAATTGAAAGGATGTGGCACATCCTTTTGTACTCAAACACCAAGGCCCAGAATAGGATTAACAGTATGAATTTCATATTTACGATGATTTTAAATAAGAATGCCAAATCACAAAGTGAAAACAAGCTAATTTTAAAATGAGAAACATTCATTAACTTGGAGCGTTTTACAATACAAGCAGTTTTTGTTTACAAATGTTTGATTCAGACCCTAACAACTGTGCAGCCTCCACCATTTCCCTAAAGACCAGGATTAGCATTTTTCTGCCTGTGGGGCACCATCTATACATGCTTCCTAAATAAAATACATGGAATCACAATCGTATTAAACAGAGCAATCATATTATCAAACCAACTTTTAAAAAACCTGACAATAGCATAGTAACTATATACTATGGAAATAAGGATAAATAGCATTTCAATACTCTTGTGACAACTGTAAATACTTGTGACTTTTACTGGCTAATCACACTCATAATGTAAACAAAACCAGTTTAATATTAAAGATGTAGAAAATATTCTTTATAATCCAAATTCTGACAGTTTGATGTCTGTGTATGACCCCTACAATGCCCGTGGACACCAGACTTAAGAAACCTTTTGCCCGGCTGGCATGGCTCAGAGGTTGAGCATCAACCTATGAACCAGGAGGCCAGGGTTCGATTCCCGGTCAGGGCACATGCCTGGGTTGTGGGCTCGATTCCGAGTGGGGCCCAGTGCAGGAGCAGCCGATTCTCCTCATTGATGCTCCTCTCTCCCTCTCTGCAATCAACAAAAAAACCTCATTAGGATGACACCACATAAGTGTGGCACTTGTTAAAAAAGAAATTAAGGTATGTTGGGGCTGGGAGCAGCTCTCCACCCCTTTCTCTCTACGTAACACTGGCACTTCCAGTAAAGCCTAAGTTGACACAAGGCATGAGGTAGTCTCGCAGAGTGTACAACCGGCGTCGTGGAGCCGGGCAAGGCTGGAGTACTTTCAGGTAGATCTGCACACAGGTCAGTCCTAATAGACCTGTCGGCGTCTAACCAAACAGTTCATCTCATCGCACGCTTGCAAGGAGGTTGACCTGGCGGTCGTGAACTTGCAGCAGCCCCAGTGCTATGCCATTTTACTGTGACTTGGGTGGCTCTTAAAAGAGCCTTTGGGTTTATTTTGTGTCGTTTTTCTTTTTTGAAGATTGGCCTTTTACTTCTTAGAGGCTCCCTTCCTGGGCTTGGTCTTCTGCTGGGTCGCCTTGGGCCTCCCGGCCGTGGGCTTGTCGGCCTTGGCCTTGGCCTTGGCCGGGCTCTTCCGCGGGGGCCTGCCCTTGGGCCCTGCCGCCTTCCTGACGCCTCGGGCGGCCTTCGGGGATGCCGATGCCCGCGGCTTCTGAGCTCTCTTGCTGGCGCTGGAGCTCTTGGGGGACTTGGACTCCCGGGACAAGACCAGCTTCTTGCCCTTGGCGGACGCGGCCTTCTTGACCTTGACCAGCTCGGGAGCCGCCTTCTTGCTGAGCCGGAAGGAGCCCGAGGCGCCGGTGCCCTTGGTCTGCACCAGGGTGCCCTTGCTCACCAGGCTCTTGAGCACCAGCTTGATGCGGCTGTTGTTCTTGTCCACGTCGTAGCCCGCGGCCGCCAGCGCCTTCTTGAGCGCGGCCAGCGACATGCCCGCCCGCTCCTGGGACAGCGACAAGGCCTCCGTGATCACCTTGGACACCGACGGGCTTGGCGTCTTGCGATTCACACCCGCCAGGCCCACCTGCTTCTTCCCTCGCTTCTTGATGTTCGGCTTCGCCATGAAAGCCGGGCCAGGCTCAGCCGGGTCCACAGGAGCCGTCTCGGACATCACAGGCGGAGGGTCCACGGACAAGAGCCAGGGAGGAGGGTTAAGCGCCGGCCGGGGGGCCCTCACGCCTTATATAGGGCAGGGCGTGCTCTGATTGGTGCGTCGCCTAGGCCTCGCCCCGCCCCTCGCGGGGAAGAGCGTTTGTGTTTGTTTTCCCCCCAAAACTTGAAGCCCACAAAAATCGTCTGCACAGAAGGGCCCGGTCCCCCTGCCGGAGGGTGCTTGGCGAGCTGGACTTCACACGCCTTCTCACCTTTTCCTGAAAAATGGCCCAAGATGCCCAAACGACTCCACAAAACCCTCGATTGTCAGCAAATTCAAGGAGAAGCACCAGCTTTCCTCTTTCCCTTGTAAATGTAACATTGCTTTTTGGCAGGAGACTTATCCCACCTTTTCTCAGTGACCTTCCAAATGGTGGAGCGGAGAGAAGACATGAGTCCTGCCCCAAATTTCATCGACAATTGTGCATGAATGTGAAGGAACTAACACAGATCTCTTAGAGGCCTCCTGCAGAATTGGATGCTTCTAGAATCGTCTAAAAGCTGCAGGGTTAGCCCTTATTTGGACAAACACAATCTGATCAGCCATAATCTGCAAGGTGTGTGGGTTGCTTCTGACAAAAACCAGCCCTGGGTCCCTGCAGCCTGATCAGAGAGCCTCGAGGATGGAGCCAGTAGCACTGAGCTCACACATGGTGTCTGCCGGGCCCAAACCAGGTCACCCAGCCCGGCCAGCGTGGCTCAGGGGTTGAGTGTCGACCTGTGAACTAGGAGAGGCTGTGGTTCGATTCCCCATCAGGGCACATGCCCAGGTGTGGACTTGATCCCGGGTAGGGGGCATGCAGGAGGCAGCCGATCCATGATGCTCTCTCATCATTGATCTCTCTCTCTCTCTCCTCTCTCTCTCTCTCCTCTCTCTCTCTCTCTCCCTCTCTCTCTCTCTCTCTCTCCCTTCCTCTCTGACATCAATAAAAACATATTAAAAATAAATAAATCAGGTCACCTTCATGGGAACCACAGACCAGACCACAGGCCCAGGCGTGGCTGGCAGGTGTGTCTGCAGAGCTGTGGGGCGCGAGGTATGGGGACAATTGTCCAGGGTGTTTCTCCGCGTGTCCTGGAACTCACCGTAGGGAGAGGTCAGGGTCTGAGTTTGCTCGCTAAGCTGGGGCCTCCCAGAAGGCCGCCGAGGGAGCAGTGCAGGGGGGTCAGAGGCCAGGGTCGGCAGAGGAAACCGCGGGAAGATGCTCCCCTGCTTGCCTGAGGAACTGGCAGTTCTGCAGACGGCAGAGACGCGGGAGGTTTATAAAGAGAAGGTTTGTGCATTGTTGCAGTTGTCTTGATACAGTCAAGAGAACCTTTCTCATAGGGAAGTTAGGAGGCGTATGAGATCAGGTGGTCCTAGCCGGTTTGGTTCAGTGGATAGAGCCTCCGCCTGTGGACTGAAGGGTCCCCAGTTGGATTCCCGGTCAGGGCACATGCCTGGATTACAGGCTGCAGGAGGCAGCCGATCAATGAGTCTCTCTCATCATTGATGTCTCTCTCTCTCTCTCTCTCTCTCTCTCTCTCTCTCCTTCTCTTTTCCTCTCTGAAATCAGTAAGAATATATTTTAAAATGTGTATAAAAGTAAGAGACACGGTAGGTAAGAGTAGTTTCAGCTGAATGCAGCCAAACAGTTTTTTAATCCAGCAGAGTCCTGGGCAGAGGGAGGCACCTGATAAATATTAGGTGTTTATTTTGTTGTTGTTTTTTTAACCTAAGATCCTACTTATTTTTACATAGTGCCTCCCCATGGAATAATTACAATTATGTCCATCGTTTTTCAGCAGTTTATTTCTTATGGGGTCATAGCTAAGAAAAATGTGCGAGGGGGGAAATTACCCTCACTAATGAAATAAGTAAAACTTCCAAAAAAATATTTTTGGCCTCTCAGGTTAACAGTGCTTTAAAAAAAATCTGTGTAAATATGAGTTCTGTAAGAGAAGTTTCCATATTATGTTGGAATTATTAATTGGCATGCCCTTCTGAATGAAAAGTTGGCAATGTGTATTAAGAGCCTTGAAAATGACTTTACCTTGTGACTTAATATTTCTAATTCTAGAATTCTATTCAAAGGAAATAATTGAATATTAAAACATAGATTTATGTACAAAGATGTGTGATTTGTATGATCTATAATGCATAAAGATGGAACTCAATCTAAACAGCCAATAACAAGACTAATTACACAAATAGCAACATCTATAAAAATTGTGTTTCTAAGCATATTCCGTAGAAAATTGTATGTACGTAAAAATATATAGCATGATACCTATATTTGCTTTATATATTTCTCTTTGCACAATTACACATTTAATATTTTTATACTCAGAGGAAAAAAATGATGTTTTAAGCCAGGTTCTTAATTATCCTTCCACAATTGTTAGAAATATGCCTTTATTTTCTAGTATCTCTCATTTTCATTGGCTAGTGAGATGTCACAGTGTCCAGCAGTAACCAGTGATGGGGAAAGACGTGTCTAAAGGCCATTTGCTCCTCCTGTAAAAAGGGAAAGATTGGTTAACTCACTTCTATAATTCATCAGATACCTGATATTGTACTAGACTCTGAGAATAGCAGTCATAACGGTGATGGGCAATTCACTGGGGTTTGTTCTGTGCCAGGCACTGTTCTAGGCACTTTGTAGATCCACCAGTGCATTTAACCTGCAACAACCTCCCATCATTCTCTCTGATTTTGGGGACGAGGAGAGGAGGGCTAGGCGAGGTAGAGTTTCCCAGGGGACACAGCTATTGGATGTTAACCCACAGCCCCTAGCACCTGAGTCTATGTACGCTCTTAAATTAAGGACGAATATGATCTAGTCAGTGTCCTGTACTGACATTTAAGCTGTCTTTTTAAAATCTATTTATTTTTTAAAATATTTTTTTATTGATTTCAGAGAGACAGGGAGAGGGAGATAGAAACATCAATGATGAATCATCGATGGGCTGCCTCCTGCACACCCCCTACTGGGGATCAAGCCCACAACCCGGGCATGTGCCCTTGACTGGAATAGAACCCGGGACCCTTCAGTCCGCGACCTCCTTGTTCATAGGTCAGCGTCCACCCTCTGGGTGAGCTCAGACCCTCTTGGGTGACAGCTGGACAATCAAAGACAATCAAGTGGAAAGTGTGTGGCAGTTACCCAGAACCACAGGAGGGGCTGGTCACGGAACCCTCCCCAGGGAAGGCCAGGGCAGGCAGATGCCTGCAGGGTGAGGAGGAGTTTTCAAGGCAGGAAGGGGGGAGAGGAGAAATCTAACACAGAGGCCCGGCATATGTGGGAGGCAGGAGATGGAAAAACAGGGTGTGGGCAAATCTGGCTGCAGAACAAGAGAGAGAGGAACAAGAAGAAGAGAAAAAAGAAGAGAAAATAACAAACAATCAAAAAGATGGGGGAATATGAGAGGGAGGAAGAGAGGGGAGAGAGGGGAGAGAGAGAGAGAGAGAGAGAGGCATGAGGCCACAGGCAATGCGCTGGGCAAGGCCCCGTCTCACTGTGGGTCAGGTATTTGGAAAATCTTAAAAGCAAGTTCAGGCCCATCCCAGAGCCTACACTTGCTGGCGGTGGAGCAATGCTGCACAGCCACTGCGCCAGCACGATCTGTTTCTGGTCTGTGTTTCACAGCTGCTATCTCATTCCACCCTCACCCCACCTTCCCCAGTCGGTAATTATTACCACCAGCAGGCTCAGAGCTGTGCGGTTGTCATAGTAACTCCGACATTTAGCTAATTGTTAACACATCCTGTGCTGCGAACAAGGTGTGAAAGCAATAGATTGGTTTCACCCAGCAATGTTAACAAGATAATTTACAGCCCCAGCCGGTGTGGCCAAATGGATACTGCATCGGCCTGTGGACCGAAAGGGTCCGGGTTCGATTCCAGTCAAGGGCATGTACGTCGGTTGCAGGCTCCTCCCCAGCCCGGGCCCTGGTCACACATCAATGTCTCTCTCTCTGTCTTTCCCTCTCGCTAAAAAAAAAAATCAATGGGAAAATATCCTCGGGCGAGGATTAAAAATAAAAATAATTTTTAAAAGATAATTTATAAAATAGAAAGAGGGGAGAAAAAAATCTGCAGACTGTCTAGGAACAAGATACGGCCGTGCATTATTTTCTGTAGAAAAGAGCTTCCTATGAGCAACCTGTTCTTGCAGGAACCAAGAAGTGTCACAGAAAACAATTAGTGCTTTTCTGGAAACTCCAGGTTGCTGGGGGAGTCGTGGCAGCTGCCGGCCTCTGGGTGACCAGCGATGGGGCTCAGCCTCAGTTGTACCATTTCCGGCATCAAAATATCTCAGCCCGGCCTCCCCCACTTTGGTTTCATAATGGGAGTGACCATGTGGACTTCAGTCTCTTTCTCACATTTAGTCATCTGTATATTAGAGTAGGAGGGCAATCACACATAAGAAATACTTGAAATCCGTATTGTCTCCAAATATTTAATTGACTTTTCTCAATGAGAGGAATCAGTTTCAAAGATTAGTTCGATTCCATTCAGTGAAATCAGTGTTTCTTAAAAGTGATTTGAAGCTCGACAAGGGCACAACATGTTGAAAGTCACTTGAGTTCTCAAGTTTCCCTCTTCCTGTTAGTGTTTTGTGTTTGCCTTTTATCCAGTTCCAGAATAAAACGTAGAATATAGCAATGAGCTCGCATAATGATAAATTCAGTTCCAAAGTATATTTACCGTATCAGCAAGAATAAGATAATACATATTTTACTGAATTCACTGTATTAACAAATAGTAAGAAATTCCTACTGTGGATGAGAAAAGGGGCCACATGCTAACCTGACTACCTCCGGGGAGGCCTGCGTGGAGGCCTTGCCAACTCCAGAGACCTAAAGTGACCACAGAGGAGGGTCTGAAATTAAAACCTTTAATTAAAAAGCAGCTGATGGTGGGTAGTCATGTCCTAGGCCAGTGCCCTCCCTGACAAAGACCAACTTCCGTCTTTCCTGAGCCTGTTGTCCTTTTGCATCTAAGATAACACACCTGGGAAAGTCAGGGTAACTAGTAACTTCCCTTTTCCCCACCCCTCAGGGCACAGCTAGCCTCCAGGGCGGAGACCACAGATTCCCTCATTGTTACTGTTAACCTGTTAATTGCTGACTGTTAACTACCCTGCACCCACCTGTGTGAAGGCAGCATGCGTCCATCATTTCACTTTTATCCAATCCCAGGGTCCCCCCCCCCACCTCCGCTTTGCTTTCTCCCGCCTCCCTCATCACCAATAGATTTCATGTGACCCGCTTATGTCTCTGCCTTTGACGGTGATTTATTAAACACGGTGAAAACCACCAACTCCAGAGCACTGTCCCAATGCACTGAGTTCCTGCTTCCCTGCAAGTGTCGACAGTTTGGCTCAAATAAACCCAAAAATTCTTTACAGGTTGGGATGATTTTTACGTTAACACAGTCATGTGAACACAGTGTGGCTGCGCCAGAAGGAGGGAGTGGTCACAGGAACGAGGGGGCTACCCACGTGAACGCGGGGGCATGGCCCGTGAACAAGAATTTTACTAATTTTTAGAATGTTACCAATGTTGTGGCCCCACCCCGTAACAAAGAAGCAGGATTTCCGGAGGATGAGGCCCAGAAGTCAGGATTTTAAAAAGATTCCCAGGTGATTCTAATGTGCAGCCAAGGCTGAGAACCGCTGCTCTAGTCCTATTTACAATGACATTTTCCTTCTCTCTCCTAACCTGGGAGGACATGACAGCACAGGAATTTAGAGCGATGGAGGCACGCACTTTGGAGGCGCTAGACACTGGAACTTGAAGCAATCAGTGGGGTTTATGGGGCCTCGGCCAGGCCTTGCACATGCGTTTCCACCCTAACGAGGCCAGGTGACACCATTCCCCAGGCAGCTGTGAGCAGACAGCTGCTTTCAAACGGAGAACCCGCCTAGTGCCAAATCGATCTTGGAAAAAACCACAGGGTGCTTCTAAATTACACAGCATTTCATCCTAGATTGTAAAAGCCTGTTTTTGTAATTGTAAACCTCATTTCCTGTAAACATTTCCATGTTTAAGTACTTGTGATTTAGTTACATTGTGAAAAATATCAGTGAGAAAGACACAGATCGGCTGCCTCCTGCAGATCAAGCCCACAACCGGGGCATGTGCCCCGATCGGGAATCGAACCCGGGACCTCTTGGTCCATAGGAGCTCAATCCACTTGACCACCCCAGCCGGACACCCCCCATGTTCCTAACAGAAAGCACCACTTAAAACCAAGGTGGGGAGACCGCATGCTAGATTTGGAAAAAAAGGGAGTTACTGTGCACTAAAGTCTGGCCGAGAGCAAAGATCACACGTACATAAGGGCGGGTCCCCTCTCCCAGCCCACAGCCCGTTTGTGGTTAGACCTGTATGACCGGTTTTAACCAACTTTCAGGGCTTTGCCCCAACTCGATCACGCAGTTTTTCACAGGCGCACGGCCGTCTGGATCTCGCGGGACGTGATGGTCGAGCGCTTGTTGTAATGCGCCAGGCGCGACGCCTCGCCCGCGATGCGCTCGAAGATGTCGTTGACGAACGAGTTCATGATGCCCATGGCCTTGGACGAGATGCCGGTGTCGGGGTGCACCTGCTTGAGCACCTTGTACACGTACACCGAGTAGCTCTCCTTGCGGCTGCGCTTGCGCTTCTTGCCGTCCTTCTTCTGCGCCTTGGTCACCGCCTTCTTGGAGCCCTTCTTCGGGGCGGGCGCGGACTTCGCTGGTTCCGGCATTTTGAGATCTCAGGAGACTGTGAGGAAAATGCGGCTGGAGCCGAATCTCTGCTACTTATAGAGACTTTATGCTAATGAGGGATGCAGAGAGCCTCTTAGTTCATTGGCATACAAACGCCAAGGCTGTCATCCTTGGGCCGGCCTATGCAAATGAGGTATGGAAATGAGACTCTCCTATTGGTTATGTGCCTGAGTCTGTTCCTAGCTAATCAGACACTCCGATTTGCTCCCAGGACCTGCCTATAAAAACGGCCATGTTCCCCCTATTCCCAGAACTGGTCTGCTCGGGCGAGTGTCCATTTTTCCTTTTTGCAAAGACTTATTTTTAATTTCCTAATGTCCGGACGCGGAAAGCAGGGCGGCAAGGCGCGCGCCAAGGCTAAGTCTCGCTCCTCGCGGGCCGGACTGCAGTTCCCCGTGGGCCGCGTGCAC